GAAGCAGGGGGTAAAGTGCATTTGGATTGGCTGCTTTCTGCAGCTCTGGCGTGCTGACACTCCCTCCACACTCCCCTTTTCGCCCCCCGCAGCTGCTACAGCGGGCTGCCACGAAAACCTGGAGCAGCTGAGTGAATTAAGCAGACAGTCCTCCTAGAGGCAACACCAGACAGCTGGGCATGCTCAGTAGCTGGAAGTGGCTTGGGAGGAGAGTAGAAAGCTTTAGCTCTGCCCCCCCCCCCCCCTGTACCCCCCGCCCCCTGCCCCTACCCAGCCGTAGTAGTTCCCCAGCGTGCGCCCGGGGAGAGCAGGAACATGGCGCTCGGAGCGATGTAGCATCCAGAAGCAGAAAAGGTACCTCGGCTTTGCCGCTGACAACCAGCCACCAGGTAGGTAGGCACGCTGGGCAGGTCTACCTGCACCCATAAGGGCGCGAGAAGGGATGCTGGTCGGATTGGGACGCCTGCTACCCCGGGCATCTTGCTTTGCCGGAGAGGATGCAAAGGAGACCTCTGTGACAGCAGGATTGATTGTGCATCTCCTAGGAGATGCCAAAAGCTAAGGACCTCTGCCCGAGGCAAGGGATCCGGGGACCGCCCACTCCCCAACCCCCAACCCATGCGCTACCATCCAGCCTGGGCTCTTCACCGGTCAAATAAAGGATAGTTTTTTTTCCTGTTGGAGGGAGGGCGTAGGATATCACCCTGGATGCCAGCTCTAGGAGCTCGCTGGTATCCTGAATGGCTAGCAAGCCCATACCGGTTCTTTGTGTATGCACTCCCGTAAGCCCGGCCGAGGGTGCCACAGTGCCTGCTGCTCCTGGGGCGTGTTGGATATATTGCTAGGGCAGATTCCCATATGGTTTTTGTCTTTTAGCAGGTGTGGACCGCAAGATGCAATAGCAGAGCCTTTATAGGGCTGTTTTCCTTTGTTATTTGCCACCGTGTGTCTGTGCGCGTGGTGGGTAGCTATGGGGAGGGAGACAACTTCTACTGGTGGGCACCGGTGGGCAGAGCGTGGAAGAGAACCTCACTTCCAAAACTCATGTCAAAATTGTGTGTAGTGTCAGTCTCCTGGAGGGTAAACTTGAAAAGTCTGGGACGATCAGTGCCGAGTTTGGAACACAAGCATAAGCATCCTTTTAGGGACCATCTGAGTGTGTATCTGGAGCTTTCCATTAGGATGAGGTGGAAGTTAATTTGCCAACATTCACAGTTCAGTTAAGGGAATCTGAGCATTGCGTATGGCTACTTGAAGTGGTCTTTTAAAGACCAGAATAATAAAAAATAAAAGAAGCTGGTACAAAGTCAGAGGAAAGTGTCCTCATTAATAGTTGATAACAGCTTGGAAAACTGGAAATACTTTTGGGGAAATGGGGAGACCTGGCCGCAGGGTCTTGGGTAATTCACAAAATATCTTAGCAATCTTTCTTCTGGGATTTGGTGCTGTGTAGCTGCTTCTTTAACCTGCCAGGATGGACCAGACACCCAGCAGAAGTCTGCCCTCCACCAGCCTTCTATGAAACTGGCATTCTTCAGTAACAGCTGTGCCACCTTACATTTCTATCAGCTATGATCAGTTCAGTTATGGAGGAAAGGTAAATTTAGAACATGCCTTTATATTTTGCTTTACAATTTAAGTCTGGGCATCTGCCTGTGAATGTTTAGCAATACTTTCCTCTACACTTACACTATTTATTTTTATGATCTCCTTAGGTGGCAAGAATGAGTCAGTATCATCATAATGAAACGGGGACTGCATGAGGGAAATACATTTAAGTAAATTAAAGCTGTAAATGCCCAGTTGGATAGTATCTTGACTTTGCATACACGTGTCCAAAGCAGAACTGCTAATGAGAGCAGCAGACGTTGATGACAAGTTCTCTGATAGTATTTGTCGTAGAATAAAAACTTTGTGTTCCTTTGTAAATAAGAGACTGATTGTACACAGTCCCTGGGGCTTATTATTTCATTAACAAGTATGGGCTTTAACTGTAGGATTTGAAAACCCAGGTTGGCGATGCCTCTCCTTTATACTCTTAGCCTCTCCTGTAACTCTCAGATCTTGTTTCAAAGGACAGTTATGAGGTAGGTGTTCGGGGATGTGGTGTCATTTTGATGATGAGATAGACAGAACTAGATTTCAACTCTGACTCTTCCATATTTAGCATAAAAGTAGATGCTAGAGATAGAATAGTGTGAGTTGAGGAAACACTGCAAAGGTTATTTAATCAGAATAACCTATCCGAGTGTTATATTCCTATGATAATGAAGAGCAGGATTCACAGGTGCCTCACTTATACATGCCACATATTTGGAAACACAAACGATTTGGGACTTGGGTCTTCTATAGATGTCCCAAATGGACTTGTTTATGTAGCTTTCCTCCCTTTGTGTTACCCTACCAATCCAATACAAAACAAACAACAAAAAAGAACAGTAAAAATACTCTTTCTTTTTAAATGTATTTATTTTTAATTTTTAAGTTTAACACTTCTATTAATTTGTTGAGAATTTCATACATGCATGCAATGTATTTTGATCATATTTCTATTTACCAAAAAACCCCACCAGATTTACCCCCTACTCCTTCCCAACTTTGTTTTGTACATATATATATATATATGTACAAAATAGATATAGTATGTGTCTATATGTCTGTGTTTGTATGTATATGTCTATGTACATGTATGTGCCATAGAATATAGAGGTCAGAGAACTACATATGTTCTGCAAATACATGTTACAAAAATCTGTTTACGATGCTCGCTCTCAAGAAGAAAGTAGTCAGATGGAGAGATGGCTCAGCAATGAATAGCACTGACTGCTCTTGTAGAGGACCCAGGTTTGATTCCCAGCACCCACATGGCAGCTAACAACTGTCCATAACTCCAGTACCAGGAGCTCCAATGCCCTCTCTGACCTCCACAGGCATTGCACGACATGACTGCATTTATACATATGCAGGCAATACACATAAAATAAAAATAATAAAATATAATAAATAAAGTATAAAAGACAGTAGTACACTAGACTTTCTGTCTTCTAGAAATTAATAATAATATTATATATGATAATACAATTAATTATTGAACTTGCATTGCGAGCCCGGGCTCTAGTAGGAATCAGTCATCGTCGTTCCACCATGTGGGTCCCAGAGACTGAACTAAGATTGTAAGATTTGATGATAAGGGCCTTTACCTGCTAAACCTTCTCATCCACTTATAGCTTTTTTCTCTTATCTTAGTACATGGTAACATAGTCCATGAAGTTGCTTTAGCCAGAATACCAAGCACTACCTTATTTATTTATTTATTTATATATTATTTATTTATTTAATTTTCAGACATCCACATTCTGCAAAGGCCCAAATGCTATCTTTGATACCTCCATTTCCTTTGCCCTAAACACCCAAATGGGTCACATGGTCATATAAAATTTACCTTCCATCTAGGTCTCTAAAATAGAAGTTGATAGACTCATCTTGCCATTTAACTCCAATTCATCATCCTTTACTTAAATCATGAGTATAACTTCCTAATAAGGCCTTGGATCCTTGGTTTGCCCCTCTAGCCCTTCATCAGCAGAAGATAGGCGCATGCCAGTTCCTAGTATAAAATGTTCCTCAAACATGGTTGCAGTTTCCAGGAACTCTCAGAATGCCCCATACTTGGCCAACCAAATTACAGGCATCTTGCTGCTGTCACACTGACCTGCTTATCTTGAACATCCAAAGTTCTCTTTTCCTTTAGTTTTGCCAGTTCAACTTATATGTATCCTTTGGCCTTTCTTGACCTCTTCCCCATCAACCCAGCTCCTCGCCCCTTTTCTTTTCTTCAGTAGAATTTCCTATCATAATTTACTACTGCATGTTTGGTTATTTAGTGTCTACAAGCTTTGTAATGGTTATTAAATTTGTGTCTTATATGCAGAAGTTGCTCAATCTGTGTTGATGAATGATTGAAAGAAGGAATATCCTGTCTCTTAGCATTTTTTTGTGTCTACATGAAGATCTTATTTTTTTCAGGAACTGTCTTTTTTTTTTTTTTTCCCAAGTGAAAAAATCAATTTAGAGCCTCATTCTAACCTCAAAAGAGGAGTATTCTTATCTTTAACAAATGCATTTCAAAGAATTGGTTTTAGGTTAACTAGTAGTTAAGAACTATGTGAAAATATTTTCTGGCAACTAAGACTTTTGTAAAAGTACATCAATCAACATATAGTCTGCAAATATGGCTGTTTGCCATGGTTATTCAAGACAATAGTAAACTAAGCATCCAACCTTCTAGAAATTAATAGTACTAAATAAAAATGCTATATATGATGGTAGTAGAATTAATTCTTTCCTTTGTGTTGTGGGCCCAGGCTCTAAGTGCTGCTCAGAATCATCACTATAGCTATTTAATATTTTCCAAGATACATATCATGAGCACAACAGAGATTTGAGAAATCAATCAGTGGTTATTATTATCTTAATAATTCAAGATAAGATTGTTATGCTTAGGGAAGAGAGATCTGTTCCTTTATAGATGAGCATACAACTTTCAAATCTAGCTGGATGAACTCTGTTGTTTTTTTAAAAAAATCATCCTGGCTACTGTCTTTGGGATTAATGTACAAGAGAAATTGTTCATTATATGAGAATAACTTCCTGGTGCATTTCACTAAAAGATTCTTATATGCTTTTATTTTTTAATTTCTCTTACTTAATTCAAGAGGTAAATATGTAAAGTCTCACAGACAGCTCTTTTATCTGGGCAAGGCCATATACTCAAAGGAAATCAACATAGCTCAATACCAGAATCTACCATATAGTCTGGCTTTCTAGAGTAGTTGTGAACTCATGTCTTTATATTCTAGAAAATAAATTATAAAATATCATTTGATTCATATTCTTAAGTAAATGTTTCTTTCAAGTAGCCAAAAATCAGAATACACTTTGTTTTTTTTCTTTTTCAAATGATGGGTCCACAGTTGAATAAATTAAAACATAAAGAATTAATGACAGATTTAAGTAAGGTGGCTCATTATAAAATTCATATTCAAAAGTGAATGGCTACCCAAAGTACCAGTATTTACTGAAAAAAAAGGTTCTGTTCATGAAAACATAAGTATATAAGTTACTTAGAAAAGAAGATGGGAAATGTCCACAGAATGCTTGGGAATAATAAGTAGTATGTAAAAACCGATATAGAAAGTTATGAGAATTTCAAGACACATAAAACTAAGAAGCAAAAAAAGAAAAGAAAAATAGGAAAACCATACCTTATTTTCAGACATAAATATGGACATTTTGAAGTAGTTATTTTTTTCTCTAGATCTATTTATTATACAGTTTTATTGTAAGGGCATGGGATAATTTGACAAAATTATTCTAACACATTTCTGAA